CCAAACACAGCTTTTAAAGGTTTATGTGCCGGGCATTGGTGGCACACGCCTTTAGTCCCAGCACTCTGGAGGCAGAGGCAGGTAGATCTCTGTGATTTCAAAGGCAGCCTGGTCTACAGAGTGAGTTCCAGGACAGCCTCCAAAGCAATACAGAGAAACCCTGTCTCAAAAAATAAATTGTTTATGTATCTAGCATTTCTCTATCATCTATCTGCCTCTCTCTATATCTATCTACATCTATATCTATCTATCTGCCTCTCTCTATATCTATCTGTCTGTCAGTCCTCTATTTATTTATATATTGTATTTGTATGTGCCATATGCTGTAGCCTGCAATGTAGGTCAGAGGACACTCCCAACAGGTCTTTCCTTCCACCACCTGGGCTCTGGGATGCAGCTCTGGATGTCAGGCTAAGTGACAAGTGCCTCTCCTTACTAAGCCGCTTTGCCAGTCCCACTGACACCTTGTTCACCCTTACAATTCCCAGTTCCAGAATGAGGGTTGCCATTTATGTTTGGACTGCTGGGCTTGAACCCCGGACCCAATTTGTGTTAAGCAAATGTGTGAGCGTTGAGCTATATCCCTAGCCTATCTGGACTTGCCCCTTATATACTAAGATAGATGCCCAACCCCTGGCAACCTCTACAGGTTAAGTGACTGTCAGAAGGGGCTGGTAACGGCTAAGAAACTGGCTTCTCATGAGCCTAGAGACCACTACATGCTTTTGCCTTTTCCCCACAGTCCATGACTTTTGGCCACTAGAAAATACTCTCAGAAGTCTCCTTATTGCCCTCTGATACTGTTTAGTTTAAAAAAAAATGCATCTATACTAAAACAAACAAAATCTATACAAAGTCTTCTGCTTCAGTCTGGATAGATAGACTCGAGTTTACAGGAAGAGAGTGAGCAAGTTAACAGAGTTCCTTCTGTCAAAGCAACTTCTCTTTTTAGAACAGGCTTGCCACGGGTCCTAACCCTTTGCACACATTCCCAAAAGCTCCCCCAGAGAGAAATGACAAATTCAAAGGAGAAAGAGCAGGGTCAGCCTGGCTCAGAGGTGGGGGCCTTTGGCAGGGGTGATCATGACAAAGACTGGTGGCAGAATTAATCATCCTGCCCTTGCACACACAGACCCCACCTACAGCTCCTGCTTCCAGGGGTTTTGCTTGTTTGCATGAACTTTCCAGAAACTGAAGATGGATGTGCAGAGTCTGACACTCATGTTTCCTGGCTGTGTTGCCTGAAGTGGCTCATTAGAGTCTTACGCCTTTCCAGTAAAGAGGTGATAGTATGATGCACTGAGACTTCAGGGGGGCAAACTGGTTGGTAGCTTCCACTACCCTCTCTGCTCTCACCTGGCACTTTGGTTTCTAGAATGTGGTTTTAATAAAAACAAAACAACAACGACAACAAACAAACAAGAAGCCCCTCGTGCCTTTAGTCCCAGCACTTGGGAGGCCGAGGCAGGCAGATCTCTGTGAGTTTGAGGCCAGCCTGGTCTACAGAGTGAGTTCCAGGACAGGCAAAGATACAAAGAGAAACCCGGTCTTCAGAGAAAAATAAAAGAAAACAGAACGTAGTTGTAGGCCTTCCAGAGCCACAGTGAGTAGTGTGTGGTGAGGACTGGAAAGAGAAGAGAGTTGAGACAGGGTTGAGGAGGAACTCTGCAGGGGGCTAAACTGTAGCTGTTCCTCACATGCCATCATTTCCTGGGTATACTGAGCCTGATGATACCCTCCCAGGCTCTCTGTGCACCCTTTCTGTCACAACTGGGACTTAGTCACCCTATTCTTACCCATCTGGGTGCTGGGTCATGGGTCCGACATCACTGAGGGCAACAATTAGTCAGGGGCATCCCCCACCTCGATCTCGGGGTGTGAGCGCTCTCCTGTGATGACCCAGAGAAAGGGAAGTGGCTCAGAAATGAGGACCTACCAAGGACCCGTGTCTGACCTTTCCCCCATCCCTGTGGTGTCTTCCTCATTGTGCATCAAGAATGACGAGTTTGTTCTTCATGGCTACAGTACTGAGTGTCCCCAGGGACCCGAGGGTTTGGCTCTCTGATGGGGAGACACAGGATGCAGTGTTATCCAGGGATGGTGGGGCTTCCTAAGTAGTCCCAGAGAAAACAAAATAAAGCACAAGAGTTCATGTGCTGTGTGGAAGGGCACGCGTTAGAGAGCCAGCATTTGATAACAGGCCTGCTAGGTTCTCCATGGCCTCGTTCAAGCCTCCCCCTCAGGTACTCCATCTCCTAGCCAGCTCTGGCGGATGCCAGGTATGAAGCACCAGCCTGAGGTTCGTCCCTGTGAGCCAGAGTGGAAGGGGAGAATGGACTCCTTGTCCTCTGACCTTCACCTGCTTTCCCACACACATACATGCAGAAATAACTAATTTCAAATAAAAAAATAATATCTGGGTAAACAAAACAAAAAGCAGGGGTGGCGGTTAGGTTGCCTCAGAACTTTGGAGGCTACAGCAGAGCGTTGGAGCCTTGAAGCTTAGTTTAGGGTCAGCCTAAGCAACACAGCAAGCCCTGCCTCTCTCCTTCTTAAAAAACACTTACATTTTAATTTTATGAGTGTTTTACCTACGCGTATGTCGGGGGTCTGCTGTGGTGTGTTCAGGGACCAGAAGAGAGAGCTGAATCCCTTAGGAACAGGAGTTACAGGTGGTTATAAGTCACCATGTGGTACTGGGAATGGAACCCCAGTCCTCTGAAAGAACAGTCAATGCTCTTTACCACTGAGCCATCTCTCCAGCCCTGTCCTCCATACTCTTAAAGCATGGAAATGGCTTGAGGTAGGCACCCGCAAGCCAGTGGCGGACTGTGCAGCCTGACATGGTCTCAGCTCTGTGAGGTGAACATCACAGCCACTGTGCCATGGAAACCCTCTGCGCTCTCATTTTGTACTGTCTGTCTCTCTGTAATCTTTTACTCTCTCTGGTTCCCAGCCAGCCTTCAAACGGTCAACTCAAGTTAACCTTCTTAGCCAGCTTCAACTCAAGTTAATCTTCTTAGCCAGCTTCCTCACAAAGCCGTCATCCTTATAACATATCAGCCACCACTGCTCGGCCCGGCACGGCACCCAGGTGCCCTCTTCCAGATGCTTGAGTCTGCCTCAGGTTATCTTAGGGCAGTGGTGGAGCATTCTTTGTGCTGTTGTACCCTTCCCCCACCTATTCTAGGTTAATTAAATGCTCTGCATGCAAGCATCCCTCTTCCCCAAGACAGGGTTTCTCTGTATAGCCTTGGATGTCCTGGAAATCTCTCTGCAGACCATGACTTCTGAGTTAGAGATCCACCTGCCTCTATGTCTGGCGGAGTGCTGGGGTTAAAGGTGAGCATCGTCATCACCTGGAGCAGACTCTTAAACTACAGTTTAGAGCTCCAAATCACACAACTAAAAGTCATTAAGAACTTAGCAACAGAAAACAAACAAACAGACAAAACAGGACAAAAATCTTAGCAACACAGAAGGAGGTTTCTGAACATACAACAATCTAACATTTTGTCAAAATCCAATGCGTGATGGATCCGGAGCGTGCTCCAATACAGCCTTGGCACACACACTTCTCACAGTGTAGGCTGTCCTACCTCGAGGTGCTACTGGATGCTGCTATCTGAAGCATCTCTGCTCAGACTTAAGATGCTTGTCTATTGTGTTTGTTTTAAAGGAATCTGCAAAGTCTCTGCTATTAAACATAAGAATTGACTTACAGAAAAGACTTTTAATTGTTTCTTACCTTCATTCCTCAATGCGTATCAAGTTAGTATATCCTTGGATTGTGTTGGTAGAATGTTTGTCTTTAAAATTTTTTTCTGGTTGAGGGCTGGAGAGCTGGAGAGATGGCTCAGAGGTTAAGAGCACTGGCTGCTCTTCCAGAGGTCCTGAGTTCAATTCCTAGCACCCACATGGTGGCTAACAGCTATCTGTAATGAGATCTGGTGCCCTCTTCAGGCAGAACACTGTATACAAAATAAATAAATCATCTTAAAAAAAATGTTGTTTGATCTGGGTGTGGTGACATATGCCATCAATCCCAGCACTCGGGAGGCAGAGACAGGTGGATCTCTGTGGGTCCAATGCCAGCCTGATCTAATAGAGTGAGTTCCACGACAGGCAGGACTGCCTTGAAAACAAAACAAAAGCAACAACAACAACAAGTAAAATTCATATGTTTGTGTTATGTCACTTGTGTGCAGTACTTGCAGAGGTGACATTGGTGGTGGGAACAGAACTTGGGGCCTATACACAAGAGCAGCAAGCTTTCTTCTTAACTGCTGAACTCCAGTCCCTATAATACTTATTTTATAACTAATATATCTGGTAAAAGGAGCCATAAATGGAAAATTTTAAGAAGCCTTGATGTAGAGTTCAAGGTTAGCCTGGACCGAGAAGCTGGATTCTGGCTTCAAATAAACCTTGGTCTTAGTTGCAAAGAAACAGACCTCAAGGTTGGGCATGGTGGCTCTGTGAGTTCCAGGCTAGCTGGGACTACCCAGGGAGTTTCAGGACAGTTGGCAATATGTAGAGAGATGCTGTCTCAAACAACAACAACAAATCCAAAGAAGCAGATCTCACCTTTGACCCCCTCACTTGGAACTCATACTGCCTATGCTGCCTCTTCGTCCCTATTGATTTTTTCCTTGTCAGGAGCAAAGGGGCATGTGAAGCTGAGGGATTTGCTGGCCCCAGATCCCTGGGTCCCTGGGCAGCCAACTCTAGGGGGCAGCCCTGGTCCTATCTTATTCTCTCTAGAGATTTTGGCTTCCATCTCCATCCCTCCAGGAGACAAACCCCCATAGCAGCACAGAAAGTCATTTTGTCTCCAGCAGAGGGCTGGTGGGGGTTGGGGGACTGTTAGGGGCTTTTTTGGCTTCTGCTCTTTGGTAGGGCAGGAGTTAATGGAGAATTGCAACATCTCCCTGGGTGAGTCACCTCCCTCTTCTCTCCACAGTTGAAGGTTTATAAAGAGGACCAGAGGCTGACAGAGAAGATCTGGGGGTAAGAGTCCCCTGGCTAGCCCTGCTCTTCCAGGCTCCCAGAAGTCTCAGGTCAGAGGGCTCAGGTCAAAAACCTCTGGAGCTCTGGTCTGCTGGGACCATGGACTGGCAGCAGCTGTGGCTGAGTTTCTTACTCCCCATGATAGTCTCAGGCCGGGCTCTGGGACCTACAGAGAAGGAGGCAGTCTTGGTGAGTCCTCTGGGAAAAGGAGGGCTCTGGCCACTGGAGTGATGGGGATTACCATGCTACCCTCTTCTCTAGGTTTCCATCTCTCCCTACAACCTACCTGCCCTCCCTTTTTGCTCTGCACCCTGACCTACGTTACCCACCTCCTATCCTTTTCTGTCTGAGGCCCCTCTCTCAAGCATCACCCTTCCAGTCCTTCATATCTGTCCCCTTCTGTCCTGATGGGTCTGTTAGGTCACTTGCATTGTTTGTATAAGACAGCTTCCCACTATGTAGTCCTACCTGGTCTGGAGCTCACTCTGTAGACCAGGCTGGCCTTGAACTCACAGAGATCTGCCTGCCTCTGTCTCCTGCATACTGGGATTAAAGGTGTGGGTCACAATGCTCAGCTTCTGTTATGCCCCAAGACTAACCCTCTTTCAATCTCCATGCCATTATAGGATTATCTGTTGCAGTATGGGTATCTACAGAAACCTCTAGAAGGAGCTGTTGACTTCAGGCTAGAAGATATCACAGAGGCCCTAAGGTGAGGCTTGAAGGTCATATTGGAGGTGTCAAAGTTCTCCCCTCCTCCAAGGCCCATCACTGCTCGACCCTAATCCACAGCAGGGTTCTGTAGGAGGGGGCAAAGCTACTCAGGATGGTGGAATGTGAGGTGAGGAACCAGGATGAGGAGCCCACAGGTCAGGTCCGTGGTGGCACACAGCTGTGATTTCAGCACGGAGCCGCAGAGACAAGCATTGAAAGTTGGAGACTAGTCGGGAATGAGGGTCCACGCCTTTAGTCCCAGAACCCAGCAGCACTCACGAGGCAGAGGCAGGCAAGTCTCTGTGAGTTTGAGGCCTGCGTGGGCTACATAGAGAGTTCCAGGACAGCTAGGGCTGCACAGTGAGACACTGCCTTAAAAAAGAAGGGATGATGGTACCCTGGGAGGGTGGCTCGGCAGTACAGAGACAAAAAACGAAAATCTTATTTCCCCCAGAGACACTGTCCCTCTGGGTAGCTCCAACTGTCGTGGAATTGGCTCTATAGACAAGGCTGGCCTGCCTCTGCCTCCTGAATGCTAAGATTAAAGGTGTGCGCCACCAACCGATTTACCTTTATTTTTAATTTTTATTATTACTTTTTGAGCTGGGTCTCACACTGTAGCTTAGATTGGCTTGGAACTGCTGGCAATGTTGCTGCTTGTCCTCTACTATGCTCCAGTTATAGGTATGAGTCACCATGCTAGAGTCCTTGTCATTACATTTTAAAACTATTTCTGATAATTTCATATACACATGTATGTATGTGCGCATGTGTGTGTACGCACGCATGCACATGCACAGTGGTCATTTTCACCCATGTCCTCTCTCATTTCCCTTCCATTCCTCCTGAATCTCATCCTCCAACAAGACCCATTGAGTTTAATGAGGGTTGCTTGTTTTAAAGTTTCTTATTACATTTATTTATTTGTAAATGGGGTGTGTGTGCGCATACCCAAATCTCTTTCCACCATGTGGGTCCTGGGGATTGAGTTTAGGCAGTTAGGCTGGGCAGCAAGCCCTTTATCCACTGAGCTATCTCACTGACTCATTTTGATGTAAATATTTTTAGGTTTATTAATTTTATTTGTTCACGTATGTATGTGTACGATGTGCATGCTTGGTGCCCAGGCTGGCCAGAAGAGGGCTTCAGATCCCTGTAACTGGAGTTAAGGATGGTTGCGAACCACCATGTAGATGCCAGGAGCTGAACCTCGGTGTTCTGCAAAAACAACAAATTCTCTCTCCTTTCTCTTACTCTCGCTCTTCGTGGTTTTTCGAGACAGGATTTCTCTGTGGCTTTGGAGGCTGTCCTGGAACTAGCTCTTGTAGACCATGCTGGCCTGGAACTCACAGAGATCTGCCTGCCTCTGCCTGAGTGCAGGTGCAAACGTCCGGCAGCAAATTCTCTTAACAGCTGAGCCATCTCTCCAGCTCCCCGTTTTGATTTTTTGAGACAGGATCTCCTAGCCCAGGCTGGTCTTGAACCTGCAATGTAGTGAGGATGACTTTGACCTCCAGATCCTCCTGCCTCATCCTTGAAAGTGTTGGGATCACAGGATGAACCACCTTGCATACCTCATCTCAAAAACAAGACAAAACGAGGCTGGAAAGGTGGCTCACTGGCTGCTCTCGTAGAGGACCCAAGTTTGGTTCTCAACACCCACATGGCAGCTCACAACCATCTGTATGACTCTGGTTCAAGGGGATCCCATGCTCTTTTTCTGACTTCTGTAGACAGTACACACGTGTGGTATATTTACATACATGCAGGGAGAAACACTGTACACATAACATAACAATAAGTCTTACAAATGAAAAACAAACCCAAACTGCTAGGTACGGTGGCTCACATCTTTAATTCTTGTGTTCAGGGGCCCTACTGCCATGAATTTAAGGCCAAAGTGAGTTTGAGGCCAGCGTAGGCTGTAGCGTGAGCCCTTGCCTCTAAAGACAAACGAACAAACAAAAGGAGAAACACATCCAGTGGATCTGGCAAGGCCCAGACCACCCCTTTGGATGCTCAGTGCTTCCTAGCTAAAATGCTGATAGTTACAGCCCACAGGAGGCATTGTGTGCATAGAGTTATGGATTGAGTTGACTTGCTGTTACCTTTTGTGGACGTCTAATTCATTTTTTATTTATTTCTATTGTGTGTTCCTTTGCAGTTTGCTAATTTTTGTTGTAGTAGTCTTTTCCTTTACCGTCCAATGACAGTCTCTCAGTAGATGGAGTTGCCCCGGTGCAGGCTGGGAGGTGAACTCAGCGGGCTGAAGTGGGTAGGACCTGAGGTGGCAGCCCTGACTTCAGGTCAGTCTTCCTCAAAAGGTCCTGGAAATGGAGAGATGAAGTTGCAATGTGCCACCATTTCTACAGACTAGAGGACAAAGCCCCAGTTATGGGCACTAGCGACTGGACTGTCCTTTTCAGCTTTAAAGACGTTGTGTCATTCCTTATCACTATTTTGGGCACCAGGAGGCCAAAGATCTCTCCCCAATTTCCAGCCATTCCAGATCCACCTGCCCTTGTGGACCGACCTCTCTCTCTCTTTCCAGAGCTTTCCAGGAAGCATCGGACCTGCCAGTTTCAGGTCAGATGGATGATGACACAAGAGCCCGTATGAAGCAGCCCCGTTGCGGTCTGGAGGATCCCTTCAACCAGAAGACCTTTAAATTCCTGCTTCTGGGTGAGGACTGAGCCTGGGAAGGGAAGGAGAAGGCTGCCCGGCTCTTAGTGTGGGTGGCATCGGGACAGTCTGGAGTGTTCAATATTTGCTAAGTGACCCGCTATGGAGGGCAGTGAGCACCCTCACCCGGAGCAACTCTCTTGGCTGTGTTTCTAACTTACTCTCTGGTCCCTTAACCAGGCCGCTGGAGAAAGAAGCACTTGACGTACCGCATCTTGAACCTTCCCTCCACCCTCTCACCCTCCAGAGCCCGGGCAGCACTGCATCAAGCCTTTAAGTACTGGAGCAGCGTGGCCCCTCTGACCTTCCGGGAGGTGAAGGCTGGTTGGGCTGACATCCGCCTCTCCTTCCATGGCCGCCAAAGCCCCTACTGCTCCAACACTTTTGATGGGCCTGGTACGCACTGGTTCTTAACTCTCAACAGACCTCAGCAACAAAGTATCTCCTTGACACTGTGTCTCTGAATCTTAAGGTTTAGGTTGGCATTTCTGCCCAATGATACCCGTTACTCACACCTCCAACTCATAGAGATCCGCCTGCCTCTCCCTCCCAAGTGCTGGGATTAAAAGTGTGTACCACAACTTCCGGCTTTCAGTATTTTTTAAAAATTTTATTTATTTATTATGTATACTGTTCTGTCTGCATCTATCCCTCCCTGCAGGCTAGAACAGGGCACCAGATTTCATTACAGATGGTCGGGAACCACCATGTGGTTCCTGGAAATCGAACTCAGGTCCTCTGGAAAGAGCAGCCTGTGCTCTTAACCTCTGAATCATCTCTCCAGTCTTCCTCTTTTACTCCTATGCCTGGCTTTCATTTCTCCTCTCATACCTTACCTTGAGAGGAGACCGGGTCACAGGGGAGTGGCTGGGGAGGTGAATATTTTGTTTCGGGTTTCACTGAGTGGTGACTGGGAAATCCGAAAGAACCACCTAAGCTAGCTGTGGCGGTGTAGCCCAGGCTGACATAAAGCCTATTATGCAGCTAAGGCTGATCCTGTACTTCTGACCCTCCTGGGTTCACCTACCAAGTGCTGTGATCGTGGCTGTAAGCAGCTTGAGTGTGTAGCAGGCAAATAATACTCTCATCGTGGGTGCTAACCTTACTGTCTACCTTTGCCTCTGTCCAGGGAAGGTCCTGGCCCATGCTGACATCCCAGAGCTTGGCAGTGTACACTTTGATAATGATGAATTCTGGACTGAGGGAACCTACAAAGGAGTGAACCTGCGAATCATTGCAGCCCATGAAGTGGGCCATGCCTTGGGACTTGGACACTCCCGATATACCCAGGCACTCATGGCTCCTGTCTATGCTGGCTTCCAGCCCTACTTCAAGCTGCACCCAGATGATGTGGCAGGGATCCAGGCTCTCTATGGTGAGCATGAGAGTCAGTTTGACTAATATCTCTCTAAGGTCAAGGAGACAATGCTAGCTTTCATGGAGTAAAATGGCTTCCCCCCCCCTCTTCCTCTGCCCAGTTCTTCAATTACTCATCTTCAAAAAGTGTCTCTATTTTTTACTCTTTTATGTCTAATCTTCCTTCCTGACTTTTCTCCCCTTACACCCTAATTCTTTTGTTCTTGTTGTTTGTTGTTTTGAGACAGGGTCTTATTATATGGCTCTGGCTGTCCTGGAACTTGCTTTGTAGTCCAGGCTGGATTCAAACTCATGAAGATCCACCTGCCTTTGCCTCCCTAGTGTTGAGATTAAAGGCATACAACACCATGCCTGGAAACCCCATTCTTGAAAATGCAGAATGTATATTCTAGGAAACTGCCTTCTCTCTGCTGCTTCTCAAAACCAAGCTGTGTCTCCTGTATATTGCTGACCACAAAAGAAAACTCCTTGGATTTCCTTTTCCCTCTCTATGGGTCCATTGAACAGAACGTACAGCAGACAGAGGGAGAAGCTGAGTGTTTGGATTTCTTTCCCTACATTGTCTTACTACATTTTGCAGGCAAGAAGAACCCAGAGGCAGAAGATGAGGAGGAAGAGATCAGGATTAGCACTGTGCTACCAGTGACCACAAAACCCAGTCCCATGCCAAACCCCTGCAGCAGTGAACTGGATGCCATGATGCTGGGTGAGGCCCTTCCTGAACAAGCTGTTGACAGGCAATGGGGGCAGTCTACTGACTCCGAGGCCTGGACAGATGGGGATGACATGGGACCGAAGCAGGAGCAGTGTGTGTATGTGTGTGTGTGTGTGTTGGACCTCAGGATACAGTTAGGGACCAGGGAAGATGTGTAGCATGGAGAGGGAGCACTTGGAGTCAAATTAAAGAGGCCTGGGTAGCTGGGCAGTGCTGGCGCACGCCTTAATCCCAGCACTCAGGAGGCAGAGGTAGGTGGACCAGGCTGGCCTGGTCTACAGAGCGAGTTCCAGGACAGCCAGGGCTACACAGAGAAACCCTGTCTCGAAAATACCACACACACACACACACACACACACACACACACACACACACGGAAGCATGGCAAGTTGGAATTGGCTACGATGCCTTTTAGAAAGGACTCTGTACCTGCTTGTAAGATTTTAAAGCTACCTGGAACGGGGCACTAGGTCTCCAAAGAGGAACAACTGACTGACCAGAGGGCTGTGAACAACAAAGGAGATGCTCAACTCTGTGTCTCCCTTCTCTGCCCTTTGCAAGTTGAGTGACTTTTTGAAGGGCTCATCAGTGGCCAGAATGGAAACCACCTGAGATACTCATGAGTTATTTACTACCTCTCAAACTTGTTAACACGCTCCTGCTCTCAGGGCCTCGTGGGAAGACCTATGCTTTCAAGGGGGACTACGTGTGGACGGTAACAGATTCAGGGCCGGGCCCCTTGTTCCGAGTGTCTGCTCTTTGGGAGGGGCTCCCTGGAAACCTAGATGCTGCTGTCTACTCTCCTCGAACAGGATGGATTCATTTCTTCAAGGGTAAGTGGGATACTTAGGTCTTACCTAAGGGCCTGGTCATTAAAAAGCTGTGAATGGGCAGAGGCACTGAGAAGCTTCATAGCACATGAGAGAGGAAACAAAAGCCCCCATCTGATGACAACAATTTGTTCTTTCTTTGTCCATTCTCAGGAAACAAGGTGTGGCGATATGTGGGTTTCAAGATGTCTCCTGGCTTTCCCATGAAACTCAACAGGGTGGAACCCAACCTGGATGCAGCGCTCTATTGGCCTGTTAACCAAAAGGTGTTTCTGTTTAAGGTATAGCAAAGCCAGGGATGATCTCTTTTGAGGATGGGCAGGCTAACTCATACTGAGAGACAAGGTCTCACCTTCAAACGGGTACCTTCTGCAGTTTGGATCAGCCTCTGGGGTCCCTAAGATCTCTCATTCCCTTTCCTCCCACCCACCCCAAATCAGGGCTCAGGGTACTGGCAATGGGACGAGCTGGCCAGAACCGACTTCAGCCGCTACCCCAAACCAATCAAGGAGTTGTTTACTGGAGTGCCGGACCGACCCTCAGCAGCGATGAGCTGGCAAGATGGCCAAGTCTACTTCTTCAAGGGCAAAGAGTACTGGCGTCTTAACCAGCAGCTTCGAGTGGCAAAGGGCTATCCCAGAAATGTCACGCACTGGATGCACTGCCGTCCTCAGACTCCAGACACTAACTTGTTACCTGGGGACGTTGCCACCTCAAGCCCCATCTTGGATGCCACTCCCTCATCTGTGGGCTCAGTCTTGGACATTACCCCGACAGCTACGGACTCTCCCACCCTTTCACTCCCTGCCTAAGAACTAAATGGGTGTCTGCTCATTAGGACTGTGCATATGGTACAGCACTGACACTAGCCATACATTTCATGCCACTAAATATTCCAGTTTTGGACATCACGTTCGTGTGCTCCTACAGGGTACCCCCTTGATTCTGAGTCGGTCCCCAGTTCCCATTTCCCTTTGTCACATAGCTCTTTCAAGTGTGTCATCTATTCTCTAGTGGAGGGAAATTGTCAATCAGGTTTTTGATTTCTTTTTTTTTTTTTTTTTTAAATCTATTTTTGGGCAGGGTCTCTTTTTACATAGTACCAGTTATGGCTGTTCTGAAACTGTCTGTGTAGACCAGGCTGGCCTCAAACTCACAGATAACCACCTGCCTCTGCCTCTGGAGCTCCTGAGTGCTGGGATTAAAGGTGTGCAACACCATGCCTGGCTAGTGTTCTTTTATTATTATTGTTGTTGTTGTTTTGTGTGCATTGGTGTTTTTCTTGCCTGTATGCCTGTGTGAGGGTGTCAGATCCTCTGGAACTGGAGTTACAGACACTGTGAGATGCCATGTGGGTGCTGGGAATTGAACCCAGGTCTGGAAGAGCAGTCAGTGCCCTTAACTGCTAAGCCATCTCTCCAGACCCCATGTTCTATTTTTTGTTTTGCTTTTTTGAGACAGTGTTTCTCTGTATTGCTTTGGAGCCTGTCCTGGAACTCTGCTCTGTAGACCAGGCTGGCCTCGAACTCACAGAGATCCCCCTGCCTCTGCCTACCGAGTGTTGGGACTAAAAGATTTAAGGTAGGAATTCCACGCCTGGATGTCAGTAGGTTTTTAGGTAACAGGAGGCAACAGCTAGGCTACTGGATATCTGGTTTCTGTTCTTCCAATGTAAAGGGCAAGAAACAGCACAGCCAGTAAATTGAGCTTTGGAGTCCTTGAACCATTTGACCATTTCAGCAAGCTAATTTACCTTGTAAAACCTTGGATTCTCTATTAATAAAATAAGGTTAATATCAATGTTATAAGATTGTTATGTTAGATGAAATACTATATGTGAAGTATCTGGTGGAGTCTGGCATATTTGTATTAATAAAGGCTAACTTCATGTTCCTGAGAGAGAACTGTGCTGTTTGGGTGTATATCTATCTATATATCTATATATCTCATATGTACATCTGTATCATATATGTATACATAGTGTATATGATAAGGGTGGCATAACAGATCTTTAGGTGACAGACTACCTTTGTTTTGTGGTGCGAAGACAGTAAAAAGCAACAGCAGAGGTTCAACTCCCCAGCTGCGTTTTCAATGCCATTTTATTCCCATGTCCCTCGTTCTTTCTCCTTCTCGTGACAGATTTGCTGCTCAGGGGAGGGATATGTCTTCCTTCACACTGTCTGGGAATCCAGGAATCAGACTATGCTCAGGACAGTTAGAGGAAGGGGGAGTTAGAGTGTGTGAGTGCCTGGACCCAAATTCTGGTTCAGGAGGAAGCTGATTATTACCTACATTGAGAGGCAGAAGGCACTTGACTACCACGAAACCCTCAAGTCCAGGCTCCTCTTCGCAAAAACGCAAGAATCAGCTGTGTGAGCCAACGATCTCTCCCTGGAGCTCGGAGCCAGCTTTTGGAGACAGGGAAGTGGAGGCAGATTCTGTGGTCCTTCCTCATTAAAGAGGAAGGAGAAAGCACCATTGAGGACTGTGTTCCCCATTGAGGTAGAGGGGACTCAAGACTATGGGGTCCATGGAGAAAGGCTGGCCAGAAGCCAATTAGCCCTAATAAGGGGTCTCTCCGAGTACTTCTGCGTCATTCTCCCTACCCCAAAACTATCAAATTAGCCTTAGGGGGTCCCCAATTTTCTATAGAACCTACAATAAAGCCCCATATTTTACCTTGGTAAGGCACACTGAGACATTTAAATGGATATTTGGGAATGGGTTGTAATTCAGTGGTAGAATGCTTGCCTACTATGAGCAACACTCTAGGCTCCATCTCAAGGTTATAGATATTAAAAAAAAAGTAAGGAAAGAAGGAGGAGAAGAAGAAGAAAGAAGAAGAAGAGAGAAGAAGGAGAAGAAGAAGGAGAAAAAGAAGGAGAAGAAGAGAGAAGAAGGAGGAGGAGAAGAAGAGAGAAGAAAAAGGAGAAGAAGGAGAGAGAAGAAGCAGCTGTTTTGGGCAAACCTCCTTGGTTCGGAGTCAGTGTCTCTAGGAACCAGGGCATCTCTACTAAGGAGGGTGCTTGTAGTTCCTCTTTCCCCTCATCTTCATAAGGATTCTCTCTGCCTGTCTCTAATTGGTCTGGGCACAAAGCCTATCCACAAGTCCAAGAGGTAGGGAAATCTGTGTGGGTCCTGTGGGTTCAGGCCCCCTATCCACTTAGCAAGCTTGGGCTCTCCCTAGGGTTATCGGTATCACTGGAGGTTGAGGTTCAGGTCTGGGCGGACTGCGAGGAGGAGAACAGCGGAACTTCAGTCAGGATCCAGGTCCAGGATAGTGTTCGGGCCTGTAGCCTGGGCGTTTGGATTCCAGCCCACACTCACGGAGACTCTGGAGATAACTGAATGAACACAGGGCAGACAGAGCAGAAGAGAGGTTCTGGGTCATAGCCCTCAGCTCATCCTGACCATCCCCCCCCCACTCCGGGGTGCCCCACTCTCCCACTCACTGGGGTCAGACTGTGACCAGGGCTCTGGATATTGGGGGGAAGCTGATTGTGATAGCTGCCTTCGCACAGTCCCATTCCAGAAGGGTTCCGATGCCACTTAGCCTCTTGCTGATGGATCCGGAGGAGTTGGAGATGTCTTCGCTGGTGGCTCAAGACCACTGTTGGGTGGGAGGCAACACAGATCAAAGGGGGCCTCTTTAGGTCCTGAATACCAACTCCAAACAGAATCAAACCCTATAGAAATCTACTTGACTTCCTGTTGTGGACCTCTCAGGGCACAACTTCCCTTCAATTATTAGATTTCTTCACATTTTCCTCCTATCCTTCTCTGGGATTCCTCTACCCTCTCACAACAGTCCTAAAAAGCTCTTCCCTGTACCTCCTGGAAATTTTTCTTGTTTTACCCAGACTTCCTTCGGCTATCCCAGCTTTAACGTTGAGTGCCTGCCCCGTTTGGCTTGGGAATCTTCTCCGATCCTCATCTCTCAAACGTTTCCCTTCCCTTCAAGTGTAGGAATTAGGGATAGCAGTAGGGGCAGGTCGGCTGCTTTTATGCCACAGCACTAACTCACCATTGGTGTGGCTTCCACGTTCCTCAGCCATGAGTTTCCACTGGGCCAGTGTCCCAAGAGCCCCCAAGATGGGCCAGGTCCCCAGTAAGACCCAGCTATACCAGCAAAGAGGAAGCAACTCTGGAAGCGCCTGCAGGCGTTCACCCAGCCGAGTGCCTAGGGCCAGGCCTTCCAAGAAGTAGTCAGCACAGGCCACCAGCCCCGCAGCACCTAGCAGGGCTGTGCCTAGAACTGTGAATGGACGTGGCCACCGGAGTGTGAGCAGGGCTCCCAGCAGTGCCAGCCCCAAAAGTCCACCGACGGGCACCCAGGCTGAATGTGGCTGGTAGATGGGTTCAGTGCCTAATAAGGTTCCAGCGCCCAGGGTCAGACCTAGCAGGAGGCCGGTCAGAAAGAGCCCGACACTGCGAACCAGCATGGTGACCAGGCCGCAGAGGAGTCCGATGCCCAGCGCGATGCCTGCGCTCACCTCCAGGCTCAACTGTGTCTCCAGCACCCGTTCCTTGTGGCACAGTAGGAAGATCACCAGAGCTCCTGACAGCAGACCCGAGAGAAACATCACTGCCTTGAAGCAGCGGTAGCCTGGGAAGGGAGGCAGGAGGCATTGAGAGGCAGGAAGGGGGGGGGGTCCTACAGGGACAGCTAACCAATGGAGCAGAAGCCAGGAGCAGCATACCGCGGGGACCTCAAGGCAAAGGGGAGAAAAGGATAAGCCCAGTGACAGACCAAGGATGCTCAGAAACTCCGAGGGGACAGGCGGAGAAAGGAGGAGGTGGAGTGCAGAGAAAACAGGATGGCGTTAGCTCCTCCAGGAATGGTAAATAGGAAATCACCAGACTGACTCAGATTCTGAGGGAAATTGAAATCTCTGGTGGGGAGGGTATCTGGGAGTGGAATTCTGAGGTAGGAGACAGAGGTAAGGCAAAGAATAGACCCAGAGGCGAAAGCCAGAGGGCATGGGCAAACAGGAGAACCAGAAGCTGGCAGAGGCAGTATAGAAGACTCTGAGGGTGGGCGTCTCCTGACAGAAAAGGTGAAGTGGCCCAGGAACCAGGAAGAAAGCTGACATCATTCTCAAGGACAACGGTCTTAGGCAGCTGCTCCCCCCCCCCCCAGGTCCCGCCCTCACCAAAGCAGCAGTAGATGACTCCAAAGCAGCAGCAAAGGGCACACACAAGGGCAGGGGCCAATTCAAGGCTGTCCTGGGCTCTCAAGACACATCTCAGGTCTGGAGGTTCTGGGAGTTGTTGATTAAAGGGCCTTGGGTCAGATGCCGTAGTCAGGGGCAACAAGGTGTTCTCCATGGTAGAAGGGAAGATGGTCACAGAGTGAACAGTTGGAGTCAGCTTCTCTCATCCATCCATAGCTATTTGGCTGGGGCTGGTAAGCCTGGGAGGGAACAGAGAGCAGAGACCATGGACCTTCAGGGTTCTGTACCTTCATTTCTTTTGAAAAGATGACCTGTTCCAACTAAAGAGCCACTTCTGTCTCATCTGCAGCTGGGACTCCATACCACCCCATCCCTCCCCACTGAATCGGTCCGGGTAGGGTTAATGAAATGGGAGAGGAAGGAAGAGGATGGGATGAGTCATCTTAGGGTCTCAGGACTTGTGCTCACACCCTCCAGGGCTGAGAGCAAAGGGGTGAAATTGCTTAGAGCTGCAGCTTCATCCCTGCCCAGGGGTCCTAGACACAGGGTGGCCAGCCGTTGGCTACAGGCGCTCCCCTCCCACCCCCAGTCACTGTAGGCATTGTTGCTCCCTACACTGCAAGTTGGACCCCAAACCCTGTGAGCTAAATGCAACCCCCAAGGAAGAAAGGGAACAGACACTTAAAAGAGTTTCAGATAAGGAATTAAGTAAGAGTCACACAGTCACCCTGTTAAGATTTTGAAGTCTTGGCTTTATGCCGAGATGGGATTGCTGCGGGAAAGCCGAATACAAGTCAGTCCGAATCCCACGGCCCTACATGGAGTAAGCAGGAGCCTTGCCCACAGACAACTCGCATCGTGGTATCCACTTGCTGCTCACTCGTCTCAGACGCGCAGGGGAATTGTTCCACCCACCCTCTCATCCCGGTACGCCTGGGCTGCCAATGGGATTTGAATTCTGATCCTGAAGGATCACTGAGGAGGGACTGGCATTGGGAAACTGAGGGGTAGGGGGATGCGGATGCACCTTCCCTTTTCTGGCTAAGGGCCGGATTGGAGGACTACTGGGGACCCTAAACAAGGAGAGGTTAGGGAGGGTCTTAACTACTCACCACCCTCCAGGGCTGAGAGCAAAGGGGTGCAATTTGCTTAGACCTCCAGCTTCATCCTAGCCCAGAGGTCCTAGGCGTAGGGGTAGCCGTTGCCTGCAGGCACCCTCTCCCCCAGGCCCACAGTGCCCGTTGCTCCCTAAACTCCTGCAAGTCCAAATCCAAACCCTGGTGAGCTAAATGCAACTAGCTTGGGGGTAGGGGTGTGTGCGGAGGAAGGAGACAGGGTGTGTGTATGGGGTGGGGGGATGACATCACGGGGCGGGCCCCCTCAATCTTTACTCCTGTGTGTGGGGGAACCCAGGCTACCTACTTCTCTAATCAAGGACCAGGGCCTCCCCCTAACCATAGCAGTGAAGAGATATGGGATGCCTGTTAAGACTAAGACGGAAGGCGTCTGAACGCTGAGGAGATTAGTCGACAACTTGACATCTTCGAAGCCCCAATGGGGTCCCAACGCACCCCCAGGTCCAGCTTGGTTTCTCCCACTTCCCAGAGAATTGGAGTATTGTCTTCTGGAGAACCGGGTGGTCGGGATCCGGGAACGGGTTTTTTTTTTTCCCTAACCAGTGCTGGTGGGGTTATTGATGGGTGAAAAAACTTGCGGAGCAAGACGGGCCTGGCAGGGACAATGACAGAACTGTAAGGCTTCAGGAGTGTGCGTAGAGGAGAGGACCCACAAGGGTCTGCGTAGGGGTGGGGGCGCGCGCGGGGGGTCGAACCAAAGCTCATTATGTAAATGAGATGCAAAGCAGCATGCAGATGAGTGCTGGGTTCTGAGCCCGGCGGAGCCTCGCTCGGATGCCCCGGCCGCAGTGCCTAGCCTGGACCTTGGGCCGCGTTCACAGCGGGCGGATCGGCGGCGTGGGAGCTCGCCAGCTGGGTCCGGGAGAGGAGTGTCGCGTGTAGTCAGGGGCCGAGCTAGTCCGGGGCACACACTTCTCTTCCTCTCTGCCACGACAGCCGATAGGGAAGGGTCCGGGCGCGCAGCTCCGGCTGTCTGTCTGCAAGCCACAGGCTATGTGTGGCTTGGCGGCTGCCCTTCATCTTCCAGCTTCGGCAGTGACAAGGAATACAGCCCGCAGGCCTGGGCCGACAGCTCGCCCGCTCACTCGCGGCAGCGCGACCTGTGCGCCTCGCACGGCTCGCACGGCGGCCTCGGGCCCTTTAAGGGGCGGGGCCGGGGCGCTCTGGCGCCGCCCCCTCGATTGACTCGGCGCTCGCCGCGCCCGCTCGCGCCCCCGCCAACCGCTTTTCTCTTTCCTTCCCGTCTTTTACCCCGGTGACCCCGGAAGTGGAAGTAGGCGGCCGCGGCGGGGACGGAAGGCGGAAGCGGAGCGTGAGCGGGAGGCGGAGCCGGGGGAGCTGCTCTCGTAGCTCCCCCTGGCCTCAGGCGCAGCTGCTCGAGGGGGAGGAGTTACCGCCGCTCTTCGGTACGTCGCCTTTGCCCCTTGCACCCAGTCGGTGCTCTCGGGTGGTCCTGCTGCTGGGACCCCCCTTAGGCTCCGCCCTCAGCCTTTCCCCTTAGGCTCCGTCCCCACCCTTTTCTGACAGATTGCGGCCTCTCTTCCAGGCGATCTTTTTTCCTAAGAGTAACCCCCCCTCACCACCACACCCTTTGCGGTAAACTCCCCCTCCCCCCCCCCATTTCCCAGACTGAAGAGTTCAGCTTTCCTGAGGGGGGGAAAAAAAAAAAAAGAGAAATTAAGATTTCAGGGGTGAGGGGGGTTTCTGAGGTCGGGGTTGGTGCAAGCAGGGTTGTGCAAGCAGATCGGTCTGATTCAGGTTTATTGTTAGGGTTAGCGAATGCCCCCAAAGAATTTGCGCTTACGCGGTAAGGGGGTAGTGGGTACATTGTTTAACTTTCTTGACCATTCCCAACTTGCTACCTTTGTTGCAGGCAAAGAACTTACCACAATGGCTGTGACCTAAACTCCTCAGGAAGCCCCGGGGTCATGGCCCAGAAGCACCCCGGAGAAAGAGGGTTGTGTGGAGCCCATCAGAGCGGTGGTGCGTCCCTCAGGACATCAGGACCCTCTGCGGACCCTGAAACAATTTCATTCTCAGGACTCGGGGACTCAACAGAGACTGCTCCTAATGGTACAGGCTGCCTCACAGAGCACTCTAGTCCCAAGTACACACAGCCCCCAAACCCAGCCCACTGGTCGGATCCAAGCCATGGTCCTCCAAGGGGTCCAGGGCCACCTAGGGAAGGAGGCTACCCTGATGAGAGTGAGGCATCCTCAGAAGAGTCAGGAGCCGACCAGGAACTCTCAAGAGATAATGGGGCTGGGTACCAGGAGGATGGGAGCCCTTTTCTTTCCATTCCGACCGCTTGTAACTGCCAGGGAAGCCCTGGGATTCCCGAAGGCACTTACTCTGAGGAAGGAAATGGTTCTTCTAGCAACTTTTGCCACCATTGTAACTCTCCAGCCTTGGGGGAAGATGAAGAGTTAGAAGAAGAGTATGATGACGAGGAACCTCTTAAATTTCCCAGTGATTTTTCACGTGTGTCGAGTGTAAAGAAAGCCCCATCCCGGAGGCAGAGGCACCGGTTTTTGACCAAGGAGGACAATCGGGATAGCGGGCGCAGAGATCCCAGGTCCCCTGGTCGTCATCGGCTGGGCCGAAAACGAAATCAGGCAGATAAGCGCAGAGGCCTGGGACTGTGGGGAGTGGAGGGACTGTGTCAGCTTGGACAGGCAGGCTTCTGGTGGCTGATTGAACTTCTGGTATTGGTGGGAGAGTATGTGGAAACTTGTGGCCATCTCATTTATGCGTGCAGGAAGCTGAAAGTCAGTGACCTGTACCTTTTTCGAGTTTGGGTGGGCGTCTGGGCAGGGAGGTTGGGGAGCTGGGCCCAGGTGGTGGTCGGCTTCCTAAGCCAGAGCTTTTACTACGCGGCAGGGCTATTCACCCGTCTCCTTAGGCTGGTGGGTGCTTTCCTGCTCCTGGCTCTTGCCCTCTTTTTGGGTTGTCTGCAGTTGGGCTGGCGGTTTTTGGTGGGGCTGGGGGACCGGTTAGGCTGGAGGGATAAGACCACCAGGCTGTTCTCTTGGCTGGGTTCTCCAGCCCTGCACCGTTGCCTGACTGTGCTTCGAGGTAGCCGGCCGTGGCAACAGCTGGCGAGATTAGTTCAGAGGAACTGGCTGGGGTTGCCTTGGGTCAAGCAGAGGACTAATGAGCAAGGTAACGCACCTGCAGCTGGCGGGCGCCACTGCCAGCCAGAAGAGGAAGTGGCCCGGCTTTTGACCATGGCCGGGGTCCCTGAGGATGAACTAAACCCTTTTCATGTGCTGGGGGTTGAAGTCACAGCGTCAGATATGGAACTAAAGAAGGCCTATAGGCAGCTAGCAGTGATGGTGAGTGTCCTCCTCCTCTGCTTATTCCTCTTTGTATCTGTCTTCTGTTCCAGAATTATGGAGTGTAAAATTAAGGGAAGGTCCAGCAGGAGGCCAACCAGAAGCTGAAGGATTGCATCCCTTTGTCTTGTTTTTGAGGCAGACTTTCACAATTGTGGACAGACTAACCTAGAACTCATGACTTTCTTGCCTCCACCGCTGAGGGCTGTGATTTATGGGACTTGTCACCATACCTAGCTAAGGGAAATATTCTTAGGCAAGAGCCATAAAGATTTCTCTGACTAGGGAACCTAATTTTTTTTCCCTCAATTAAAGGCTTTTGTCATGAAGTTTTTTTTTGGGGGGGCTGGGTAATATAGCAGTCAGGGTTGAACTCACTCACCCGACAGTAGCTAGATGAAATTCCTCTACTTAGGATAGGGAAGAGGTCCAGTTGGTCATTCATTACCTTAGTTTCTCTCACCTGAACAAAGGAATTTTTGTTTTGTTGCTTGGGGTAGAGTGTTGCTATAAAGCTCCAGCTAACTTTGAATCTGTGAGTCTCTTGCCTTTGGAAGTCCTGGGATTACATGTGTGCATCACCATGAATGGTAAAGAAGGAATGAAAACAATTTTTTTTTTGTTTTTGTTTTTTTAGAGACAGGGTTTCTTTGTGTTGCCTGGGATGTCCTGGAACTAACTCTGTAAACCTCAAAAAACTCAGAGAGATCCACCTGCCTCTGCCTCCCTGGGACTAAAGGCGGGCGCCACCAACCGGCAAGAAATTGTCCCATT